AATTAAAAACTATATAATTTAAATATTTTTTATAAATTTGTAAATTAATAAGAAAAAATATTTAATTAAAATATAATTTTTTTTTAATCTTTGACTAGTCTTGCTAAGATTTTTCAGTAGTCCTTGCATTTTTTGAACTAATATTCTCAATATACTCCTGAATCTGAACCTCAACCTTACCTAGTCTGTACTTTTAAACTTTTCAGAAGTGACTGTCATACTGATTTCTGCCAGTATCAGAAGTCTTCGCCAAGCTCTATCAAGAACCAGCTATTGCCATAAGTTTATGTAATATCTCTCATTGTCAGACTTTTGGCCTCACATTATGTCTCATGACTTTAGTTATTTCAAATTAAGTTCTAACTCATGTTTATCACTAAGTGGCTTCTCAATCATAGGTCACTTGCTTTTTTTAAAAATAAGTCAGTCTGATGATGTTCTAGGTCTCTAGTGCTGTGATGTTGCAATTTTCTATTTTAGAAATGCATCTTTACAATTGCTATCACTAGAATTTGAACTAGCAACTTTGCAATTTGTAATCTTAGAGAATAACTACTATGCTATTGACCTTAGAGGTTATTAAAATATAATAAATTTATTTTTAAACCTTAAAATTATAGTATATATAATTTTAAAAGTATAGTTATTATATTTAATATTATTAATAAGTTTTTTAATTTACAGTATTTTATAAAATATAATATATTAAAAGTTAGGTTTAGGTCACAGATTATAAGGTAAGTGTGGGTATTGTGGTAAAGTTAACAGTTCTTACTAATAAAAGTTAATAAAAAATACAAGTCATGTTATAAATTTTTTTAGTAATAACATAGATTTCAACTTGCTTTATAATTAAAAAAAAAAAGCTCATTTTTATAATTTTATAGTAGAAATCATTAAGTGGCTTTGATTCTCAATCAAGTAAGGGTATTGTAATGAACCGAAGATCAGCAGATAAAAATGCTGATCAATGATCTTTTTATTACAGTATTACTGTATTACTTTAACATTAATAAGCAGAACCAACAACAGTAATAATGATATGTAGAAGCTTAGTTTTTTTTATCTTTATTTTTAGCATTTACTTTTTTTTTTGTTTTACTTGCGGTTTTAACTTTTTTTGTGTGTTTTCTAACTCATATTTTGCTCACTTCTCTGCAGCAGCCTCCTTTTTTTTCTTTGCATTTTTAGCTTTACTTCTAGCTAATTCTTCCATCTTTTCTAATTCTCATAAAGAGTCATCATTGGTAAGAAGGTGGGTAAAGGGTAATGTCTTTCTTCTTTTTGTAGGCTGGGACTGAAATTCGGTAGTGCCATTAGAGTTTGGTTCTATAGTTTGTGTTTGTTAAGTGACAGGGTATTTAAGAGCCATTTTTAATGAACAGGTACCAGGCCTTTTATACATTTCCAGCTCTTTTTTTACTGAGGTTAAATCTTTTTTTATTGATTCATTTTCTTTTTTTAATGATTCTACCTCATTCTTAAGAGAATTAATTTCTTCTTTCAACAATTTTAATTCTTGAACAGTGGCAGCTCGAGTAGAGTATTTTTGGGTTGGTCGAAGTGAGAATACAATTGCTAGCATTGGTGTTTCTTCCTCAGTTGGTTGAATGGGCTGAAATGAAGGTAATAAATCAGGTTGCTCGGTTGTTAAAGAAGGATCAAGATGGTCCAAACTGATCACGTTAGGGTTAAAAGGCCAAATTCCTGTAACTCTAAAGGAATTAGTAATTGCCTCAAAGGTATAGGTTGTGGCAAATGCTGGTTCAAGAATACTAGCGAATGTATGCTTGGTAACCACTTCACCTTTATCATTGTGAAGCTTGTCACAACTATTGCTATATTCATTTTTGAGCTTGGTGAAGGGAATTTCAGATGGTTGAAGCATATGTGTGGTGTGGGAAGGAAGTGCATAGAGTAAAACCTCATTATCATAACAAAATTTAACGCTTGTATAATTTACATGGCTTTTGTGGCCATCAAGCATTAATAGGACTGGGCGAGCAGACAAAATTAAACTGATGAAGTGCTCGATATACATTTGGAAAAGGTCTTCTCGCATATATCCAGAATCAGTAAAGCCTATTACACTACCAGAAGGGGCTCCAGCTAATAAACCTGAAATTGTACAGATATCTTTATAGATGATTAATGGAGGTATATAATCACCTGCAGCTGAAATCATTGGAACAACAGATATATAGTCGTGTATGTTCCTGTGTGAGACCTTATAAACTTGGCGAGCACCTTTTATGGTGAGAACCTAAAGACAAGTTAGTAAAAGCATATAAATTTTTTTAAGTAAATTTTTTTTGCAATAATAACTTAATCAAAACTAATAAATCAATTTTATAATTATAGAATTATTAAAAATTTTATATCAAATTAATTTTTTTATTAAATTATTTTTAAAAATTTTATTAAAAAAGATTTGATGCATTTTTACTAACTATTACCTTTTGAATTTTGGGAGAAATAACAAAACCAGTCTCATTCATATTCCAGATGCAGTCTGGGATAAGCAAATACTCCTGAATGATCTTTTTTAATTTTTTAAAATGATCATTAATTATTACTGGATTGGCTCTTTGAGCACAAGCTTCTGATAAAGCTTGAGGCATCCTAAAAGATAAGTCAGAATGGTCCTTCATAAATCGATCCCACCAAGTTCTACTGAGTCCTTTATTGTTAAAAGGATGGTTACGTTTATTATTCTTTAAAATTTCCATCACACAATGGTTTACACCTGACTTCGTCAAGCCAAAACCTAATCTCTGCATGTTCTTACAATAGCCTACAAGTTGCTCCTTCTCATAGCTACTCAGGATTGTTGTGGGACCATGATGGTTGTGATAACTATTTTTTACTGCACGCCTAAGTGTTGTCTCTGAAATTCCAAACTTTGCAGCAGCAGCATTTACATTAAGATTATCAGTATTAGCAAGTTCTTTTAGTGCATCTTCTATTGCATCGTGACAATCTTTCTCGGTCAGTTTTGGGCTAGTTTTCTTTACTACTTTTGATTTTGTGATATTTTTAACTTTAGCTAACATTTTTTTTTTTTTTTAAATTTAACAATGTATTGTGTGCAAGCTAAAAAAATTTTATTGCAATATTGTTTATTGACTTTATTCAATTAATAACTTTTATACATTTATTTCTTATTTATTTGATTACTTTTATGTAGAGTCATTACACAAAATATTCCAATAAAAACTAAATAATCATATTTGGAATAAAATACTGCAAGTTTTTTTTTATAATTTATATAAATTGATGTGAGTTCAATGTTTGGCTTTATCTAGAATAATTGCCCAGAACTTCATATAAGAGAATATTTGAGTCTGGATTATGCAGTACAAACTCAATTGATGGAACCATAATCAGTGATATAAATTGGGTCGGCGCAATAGGCATAGCGTACCAGGGCACAAAATTCTATTGTAAAATACCGGAGGCTCCGTTTAGTTAAGATGACTTCTGGCATAGTTTTAAAGCAGCCGGAAATTTTATAATATTAAATATATTGCAGAAGTTTTTAAATTTCATTTATCAAAAAAAAAGCAGATTACATCCCCAGAAATTTTGTGCCCTGCAGTGTACATAGGTTTAAATTTGTGCATATATTAGTACTCTTCGTGTATATAAAGCACATATGGGTCCTTCCACAGCAAATTGGGGCTTAGAGATAAATTTTTTATATGTAAATTTTAATGTTTAATCATTGACTTTTATATATAGTGATATATTCTAATTTTTAACTGCACAAGAAACTGTATAAAATTGTAATATGCTAATATTTACCAAATTTTTGTTACAGATAAAGCATGCACTTAGGAATATAGCTCAATAAAAATCTCAATTACGATTAGAACCTCTTTAAGCCTCGATTTGCTGTAGAAGGACCCATATAAAATTTCTTTTTTGAGTATTTTTTTTTTGCAGCAATAAAAATTTTTTGAATTTATAACACTGCCCATAATATGGTAACCTATAAGATGCATGAGCCTATAATATGATAACCTGTAATATACACAAGCTTATAATATGGTAACCTGTAATATACATGAACTCATAGTGCAATATGATCTGCAATGTGATAAATTTATGGCATAATTATAGGATCGTAGGACAAGAATTAGGCATATAATTGTCATAATGCTGTATTAGCGAAATTAGCAAATAAAAAATCTTTAAATCTTATAAAAATTTAATGATAGTGTAATGAACAATTAAGTTAATAGACAGATACGCATTGATTTATTTATAAATATATACTTTTATTTTCATCATGTTATAATTTAATTTCACTATAATACCTATTAAATTATTGAATTTCTGCTATTTGAATAATCAGAATCATACAATTTTTGTACCATTCTATTCATCTTATCAAGATGAATCGAATAGTATAAAAATTATTCGATTTGGATTTATGGGTCATGAGTCATGCCAGATTTGCCACAATACCCACATTCGCCACAATATCCACACTTATCTTATATAATAGTTATTTTATATATGCTAGTTATTCTAAATATGCTAGTTATTTTAAATCTATTATATATGCAGTTTCTGCTAAATCTACTAACTATACTAGGTTTGCTAAATAATTATGCAATTGATTTTTTTTAGGTTTAATGCATTATTGATTAGTTTCTAATTGTTATACTATATATATAGTATAAGGTTATAAAAGAGTTTAAAATTGTTTAATATTTAGAAATTACATATTAAGAATCTGTAAATATGTTTATAATACTATTTTCAAGAGCAATAATAAAAGCAGATAAGATAGCAGTAAGTTTAGTTTTAAATAAACAAGGTTAAAGTTTTGTTTAAGCTTAAAATATATATAGTATAAAGTTATTAGAAATTTGGGCCTATCAAATATTCATTAAGCATTGTAAAGTATCTAAATTAATAACAGAGTCATCTGTATAAAAGTAAAATTCAAATAGGTTAGCATTATAGTTGGCTATTTGTTAAAGGTTATATATAAGTAAACTAGGTTTAAAAATTTTAAGAATTGGTTAAATAACAATAATAATATTTGAAGAATCTGAAATTTGAATAGAATATTAAATTGTAATAGAGTATATAAGATCAAGATGATTAGTATTAAAATTAAAAGTTTTATTATAAGTATTAATTTAACTCAAAAATTGAGTTGAAAGATTAATAAAAATAATAATTATATATTTGTTAGCAATTGTTTGAAAATTAAAAAAGCAGTCAAAATATATATAGAATTAAATAGATAAAAGAAGATAAAGTTAAATAAATTGTAATTCAATATTACATTGCTAGTAAGTAATAAAATAGATTCAAATGCAGAAAGTTGCCTTCTGGCTTTGTTAGCAATAATTTAATTATTAAGTATTGTAATAAGACATAGTTTTTTGTATGATAAGAAGTATCTAATTATATAACTATAGTAGTTTGTATTAGACAGATATAAATGTTGATAAAGTTTACAATTTTAAAAATAATTTGTAACTTAGTCTTCTAAATAATTAAACCAAAGTGGCTGTTTGCCTTTTGGAATCTTGTATATATAAGAAAAGATATATTTCTAATTTAATAAGTATGAGTTATCAAATATAATAAGTTAATCAAGTTATAGAATACTATGATATATAAGTTGTTTTTTAAAAAGAAACTATAATTTTTTTTAAAATAGTTTAGAAAAAGTAATATAATACTAATAAGTTTTTTTTATTTACTAGATAAAAAATAAATTTTGTCTATAGGAATTATTCTAAAAAAAGAATATTAATACAGTTTATAGTTAAAAGCTGTTTATTAATTTAATTACAAGAAGGACTATATTTAGATTTTTGTTTTTTTTAAAGAATTTCAAATATATGTTTACAAGATTAAAAAAAGAAAAATATTTGTTACATAATCAGATTTGAAGAATTTAACAGAGTTTATATATTTGTAAACTTGATGTTCAAGTAACTAAATAATTAAAAACTAAGTAATTAAGTAATTAGTTTTTTTGTTTTTTTTTTTTTTTTTTTTTTTTTTTTTAACCTTTGATAGCCATGATGGTCAACCAGTCAGAAGTTTATTTATAAATGTTTAGTATAGACAATATACAAATAGAACTATATCTAACTTCATATATCATTATCACACAGTTACTCCAATTGGCACCTATGAGTGACCTGCTGCACCAAACCTGCTAAAGTCTGGATCAAGCTTGTCTGTCTGCTGCCTTACAATTGAACAGCACCAATCTGATACCATTCATTTATAAGAAGGTAAAAAACTAAAAAAAAATTTCTTGTTAAGAGGGAATGCATTAAAAAAAAATATGTATAAAGAAGAAACATAAAAAGAAACAAATATCAAAAAATAAAAGAAAAGAGAATTGCTGATGAAGGCCAGACAAACAGTCACTAAATATAAAGGCTGTGTCAGCCTATTAAAAATTATATGTTACTAAATACAGTAACCTCTACTTTAACTCTATCTAATTAACATATTTAATACTAAAGCTTATATTCTAAGGAAAACAATTTAACCAAAACTGAACTGGCAGAGAATTTTCCATATACCAAACATCTCGACTCTTTGTCACTAAATCCATCTTCATGTATGACTCATCATACTTTTTACCAGATTTTACATTTCAACATGTGTCACATTTTCGACCAATCATCTCATTTTTGCTAAAAATCTCCAATCTCATCACATTGTTGTGTTTTTTCTAAGACACATGTACTCATGCTTTATTTACAATATAGGCTCTTTTCAAATAAAACTGATAAACAATCCCAATTTGGAAAGATCAACAATGCCGATTTTGATGAAGATAAACTAGATTGCCCACTTTTTAATAAAAATTTCTTGGAAAAAAGTATGAAAAGAATTTTTAAAGCACTAACTATAATGAGCATAAGAGTTTATATTATATAAAATAACATATTCAACCAAGCTTCTATCTTTGCTACTGCTTCAATATAGTTGACAAAACTTCCTTGATTGTAGTCAAAGTTACTTTTTCAATAACTCCATAAACTTCTACTGGAGAGCCAAATCCATAAAGAGCTGTCTTTTTCAATTCTTTTTCATATGGCCCACATGCAATCTTAAATTCTTGAACCCAGATACTATATAGTAAAGTTTTGTTATGTATAAACATACTAACTATATAATTTTCATAGGTCAGTATATGTGAAAAAATTGGTGCAAAGGATCATTAGAGAAAGTTTTTGAATAATTAGTTTTTCTAATTACTAATTAATTATTAAATAATTAAATAATTAAGTAATTAATTAACTAAATGATTACTAAACAACTAATTTCTAAGCAACTAATTACTAAGTAACTAATTATTAAGTAACTAATTACTAAGTAATTAATTATTAAACAACTAAATAATTAAGTAATTACTAATAACAATATGATAATAAGAATAACTAATAGTAATAATAATAATATGTTTATAAAATAATAATAAATAATAATAATTTATTTTATAACACTATTTACTAAAATTATTACTATATTTTACAAATTAAACAAATAAATAAAAAGTAAATAATTAGTAAATAATAAAATAAAAATTTTTTATTATTCTATTTTATATCTGCTAAATAATAGTAATACAATAATAGAGGGATGTAGTGACTTAGTGAAGTAGTCAGGTTGTCAACCCCCAAGTGGTAGGTTGAGTGTTCAAATCCTATCAACAGTGAAAATTTGAATAATCACCTATGTAATATTCATATTACGATAACTGTTACTAATGATTAAATTAGAATACCTGTAATGGCAGTTGCACCAGTATGACTAGCAAGTCATAGGGCATCTGTGTAAGTATGGCATTACACAGAGAAATGCAAACTGACAAATCAAGTAGTGCAAACACTAAATAAGTCCTTGTGGTCATGTAAATCCATTGAAATTGGGTAATAAGAAGTCCATTTGGGAAGACCCAAGTAGAGAGGTAGCTGAATCTTCGATGACCTTATTGTAAAGACTGGGTTGAGAGGCTTGGAGATACTACCAACCAGGCCACCAGAACAAATTGGAGAAAAAGGATATCAGGCTGACCCAATATACCAATAGACTGGTTATAGTCCTATATGAGCTATCTGGATTGAGAGTTTGGTAAAAAGGCTGAACAAAAGGCAGGAGTATACTAAAGTACTGGGGTTATGCTGTGAAGTAGATGCTGGAATTTAAGTGAACTCTACAAGGGCATAGCAGTTTAATAGTTAGCCCTGACTACAAGTGTTGATTCTGCTATAGTGATACCTAGGTCAGCTGTAAAAATGAGTACAGAAGGCTCTAAAAGATTTATCTTAAGGATAAATTAATCCTAAGGTTAGAGATGATAATCTGATACATCTGAGATGACCAGTAATATTAACACAGGTTACAGGTTCAGAGAATTTAAAGTAGAACACCCAAGCAGAGGTGTTAGATATGACAATTGGTAGGGAACCTTCAGGCAGACTCCTTAAATAGATAATATAAAAAAGTTACATGTGTAGCCAATTGTACGCTCTTCTGTAGTAGTTCATTGAACTACAATATTGATAAGTGATTAATAAAAGTCAAAAAACCAAAGAGGTCACCTTAAAAAAAAAAAAAAAAAAAAAAAGTAATACAATAATAGTATAATAGTAAATAACAAAAAATTTATCAATATTAGTAATCTATTAGTAAGATAAAATATTTCTATTATTATAATTTTAGTCTTTATAACTAAAATAAAATAATAAAATTTTTTTATTATTTTGTTAATATATTATTATTATGCTATTAATATTGACAAATCTTTTATTATTTTACTGTTATTTTGCATTATGCTACTGTTATATTACTATTATTTGGTAAATATAACATAAAATAATAAAATGTTTTTATTTTATCATTTACTATTATTTATTTTTTAAGATTTTTTAAAATAGTACACTTGCGCTATGATGCACTTCTTGTATAATACAAATAAATACACCTAATTGATATATATAATTTATATAACAGATATATATTATACTGTTACACAAAATTATGTGTTATGTTACATAAGGTTATATATATTACACAAAGTTAAATAATTCAACTAAAAAATCTAGTATATGCTAATATACTTACTCTAAAGCATAATAGGTGCATCATGATACACTAGTGCACCAAATTATAATTTTCTATTTTTTATTTATTTATTTAAATTATACTTTTTATCAAATTTTTGTATTATTTTAATCAACAAATTTATATTTAAATTTAAATATTATATTATATTTTTAGGTCTTAATTTAATCAACATTCTTAATTAGTTTTGACATTTTTTACTTTTTAAAACTTATTATTTTAATATGCATTATATTTAATTGTTAATTCAAAAATTAAATTATAATATTCAAAATAAATTAATACCAGATAAATCATCTTATAATAATTACAAACTTTGAAATCTACATGAATTTTAAATATTTTGATAAGTTTAAATTACAAACAATTTGTTTAAGTTTTAATCTTAATATCTTTTAAATATAGAATTCAAATATAAGTTTTTTTCTAAATATTCTACTTGTAAAAAATTTAACTAAGTTTCAATAAAGATAAAAATATAATCTTATCTTAATATTTAAACCAAAATTCATTTAAATAAAAAGTTTAATTTACTTCTAAACCATCAAAAGTACATCTATTTTTTAGTATATTATATCTTTTATTTTATTAATAAACAATTTATTTTATATAGAACTAAAAATATTATTTACTTAAATCTCCTTATATCATTTTTTCATAATTCAGTTTTTTTGATATTATTGACTAGAGAATCATTAGAAAGAATTTTATTTTTATTATGGAATTAATTTTTATTACTTATAAAATTTTTTTTATTAAATAATTCTTTCTCTTATTTAAGTTCTTCATCCATCGGATGTTTTTTCAGGAACGATTAAATAAGATTCAAACTATAGTTATTATAAATAACAGCTGTATTTTATAGTCTATGATGATTGGTTGGTAACCTAGCCGGCACGACAGGGATTCATCTATCCGTTCAGATAAAATTGAGATTATCCCTATCTGCTTATCTGTCCGTGACCTACTCCAACAGATATTCGGATAACCTGGATAAAAGAACTATTATTGTGAAGATACTTCCAATTGTAATGTAAGAACAAGTCCGAATAAAAAAAAAAAAAAAACTTAGTTTGCCAATAAATACGATTTTATACTTATTATATCATATAGTCGTATGATCAATCCGGTTTAACTATCTGAAATCAAAATTTTATTCCGAATATGTAGTAATATTCGGATTATCCAAATCTTCAGATATAAAAGTTCCATTTCTAGGCAGGGTTACCAAACGATCAGAAAAGAACATAAAAATATGACAGTTATTGATTATCTAGTATGCAATAGGTAACAGTTTTATTCAATGAGTTTACTATGAAATAAGATCAAATAATTTTATCATAAAAAAAATAATTGATTTATTTAATAAGCTGTTAATACATTGAATACGTACGTTAGAATAGAATAGATTTACTTAACTGTTAATACAAGTATTTACGTACGTATACGTAAAACTATGATAAAATCTATATCAATATCGATATAAATAATGACCTTCCTTTTTAACCAATCAAATCAAACTTGACATATGCTCTTTGAGATCTTATTGCTATTTATTTTAATTTTATTACAACAGTATTAATATCTAGTTCTATTTATATCGAAAAAATTGTCATCCAAACATAAAAAATAGTAGCACAAAAAAAAAAAAAGTATATCAGTTATCTACAGTTTATCTTCGTACATACGTATGTATGTACTGTACGTAAATCTTAATGTTATCTAAATAAAGAAAGACATGTCTTTTTTTTTTCGAGAAGTTTGCACTATGGAAAAGTCTTATTTAGTTAATAATCCGATATGTATTTTGATTTCTATTTTAAAAAGATTTATTTTGTTAAATGTTTTTTTTTTTGGCTAATTATTTATTGTAACTTTAATTAATACTTCTTAGTTAATGTAACTTTAATTATTATTACTCGGCTAATGTTTTTATGTAACTTTAAATCATACTTTTCGGCTAATGTTTTATTGTAACTTTAATTAATACTTCTTGGCTAATGTTTGTTGTAAAGTTTTTTTTTTTAAAGTTTACAGGTTAAATGCATTGTTTTATTTTTAAACCTTATGCACACTGGAAATAACATATTGAAACAATGCTGCAAACACTAAAAATGCCAATGGCGGAGGATATTGAACATGCTCCAAATGGAATTTGAGATCGAATTCGGGTATATACGTATAAAATTGGAAATTGACTTTTTTTTTTAAAAAAAAAAAGTGAATTTTAAAAACAACAACCATTTAACCGATTCCTGTTAAACCGATTCCCTTTAACAAATAAAATCGGTTCTAAGCTCCATAAATCATAAAGAAATAATTGATCATTTACATGATTATACGTAACAAAAAAAAAAAAGAAAAGGATATCGTAAATGTGTACAAGGTTGGTGGTGAAGACTAAATTCTTAAAATTCGGCAAGGTTGGGGTTAGGATCAAAGTTAGGATCTAGAGGGGAATAGTTTATGTAGTAAAATTGGGCAAAAAAAAAAACTTTTTGTTAGAGTACAAAAGGTGGTTTCTTATGCTGATTTTTGATCTCTGAGCAGAATGAACATTTCTTTCGAATCTTCTTGTTTGTGTTACGTTACACTTAATCTTGAAATCTGATTCGTAGTTCAGGAGATCTGCGCCACCAATCTTGTACACATTTACGATATGCAAAAAAAAAAAGATTTGATGTTGTGTATCAAAATGAAGTTCATTTTATTTGAAAAAGTTGAATTTTTTTTTCATTTGTTAAAATGTTTATGAATTTTATTAAAATTGTAAATATAACATTTTTTTTTAACATTCTAAATACAACAAATATTTTAAATACAGCAACATTTATATAACATTAATTAAAAACATTTTAACATATTAAAATACAAAAAAATACAAAAATTTAAAAAAAATTTAACATTATTTGTTAACAAAAATAATAATAATAATATGAAATGTCCGTCGATTAAAAAAAAAATCTAACAAAATAAATTGTCTTTTTTTTTTTCTAACTTTTAAAAATTAATATGTTTGAGCTTTACATAAATTTTTAACACTATCAGGTACTTTTAAGCTCCTTATTTTTGAAGGGTTAACGATCAATTGTTTTACCATACCGATTTCAATATGCCATTCAATATGACAATGGAAATTCCAAACACCAGGATTATCAGTTTTAAAACGTATAACTGACCAACCATTAGATGGAACCACTGTAGTATCACGAATCGGTGGATCATTAGTATTTAAAGTTTCATTAACTTTTTGACCTGAACCTTCTCCCAAGAGATAGAAAGTTTGACCGTGCTAATAGTAGTAAGAGCAATAATTGTTATTATTATTATTATTATTATTATTATGAAATATATACTTTGAAGAATGAAAAATGTGTAATACATACCAAGTGGAATGGATGATTAGCCGGGTTAGTATCTAAACGAAATAAATAAATATAAATAAGTTTGATGATAATAATATTTAAAAATATTCAAGAATTCATTATATATCAACAACTTACTAAACACGGTTATTTCAACAACACCATTTTCATTATCAAATTCTTGTATATTTTGTGTTGTTGGTAAATCTTTCACGTTAATTCCATCATTAATAATTTGTAAAAGTGTTGGACTATCAAAAGTTGGAACATAACTTGAATTATCAATTTTTGCAGCAGTTACATTTTTAATTTTATCAAATGTTACGTTAAATGAAACAGATTCGGTTTTTTCAGGACATGGGGAATCTATTAATGGTTTTAATAATTTACTATCAAGATTTCTGCATGGTTTAACTTCATCAGGATATGCACTAGAAGTAGGTTCCTTATCATCGGCACCTTCATAAGAGAGGATGGCGCGAACATCATAATTGACCGCCGAGTTAGTATTAATAGTGAAATTATTGTTAGCAATACATGACTTTGACATATTAGCACGTATCCAGAAGTTTCCAACTTCTTGATTAGCTTCAACTATTACAGAGAATCGTTGAGCAACATGAAGAGCAATTTGTTTAACTTCAACAGATTTGACCAAAGTTCCTTCAACTTCAATTACTTTCATAGTATGACTATCAATTGAAAGGGCGAAGAATGCTTCAGCACTATATTATAAAAGAAAAAATTTAATTTTTTAAGAGTTAATTTAATTTTTTAATTGATAATTTAATTATACGAAGAGTTTATAAAATTTAAAATACCTGGTATTAATTATACGGAATCTATATTTCTTTCCCTTTTTAACTTTGTAAACGGCATATGGAGAATTTTTAACACATTTTGATCCGGGAGCAGCATCGCAGTTGTATCTACCTTTTCCACTTACAAGACCTGCATCAGGTACGGGCTAATATGATATATATAATGTAAATTAAAGTAGATAATGTAAATAAGAGTAGATAATGTAAATAAGAGTAGATAAAATAAATAAAGTGAAATAAAGTGAAATAAAGTGAAAAAAGTGAAATAGTACTAACATTAAGTCCTTTATATCCTGGAGTTAGAAGTCCAGCTAATAAATCGCCGGCTATTGCATGATACCAATCAGTTAAAGTAAGCACAAGCTCGTAATCGTATTCCTTCACGTATGGATCATTCTTATCATGAATGATCAAAGGACCTAGTATGCCATCAAGGTATTGAGCCTTGTAATGTGAGTGCCTTTTAATTAAAATATATATTAGTTATTTTTTAATTCGTTGTTATTATTGGTAACTCATGAGTATAAAAGTACATCAATGAGTACATCATGAGTATATGATAATTCATGAGTGTGCGACATGAGTATGTAACTCGTGAATAAACCTACCACCAATAAGTTCCGCTTTGTTCATCAACGGAGAATTCATAAGTGAGAGAGGACTTTGAAGCAAGTAAGCATTGAGTCATTCCGGGTACACCATCATACCACGGAGTTCCTCTTTGAAACATTCCATGCCAATGCATTGCGGTTTCAACTGAAAGATCATTCACCACTTCTACAGAGATAGTATCACCTTTATAAGCTTGAATAATAGGACCGGGATATTGATCATTTACTAAGTAACATGTACGGCTAAAACCATCAGGCGACAATTCTTTTGAACTTAATTTGAAAGTGTATTTGCGAACTTGGGGTTGGTCAGATTTATCAGGAAGAACTAAAGGTTCAAAAATATTTGATGTGTATAAAGCATTATCTCGTTTTTCAGGTAATTCCGCGACGGGTATTGCAGAGACCCAGACGCTAAGTAGGAGAATGAGTAGAAAAGAATATTTTATTGTTCTCATTTTTTATTTTTTATTTTTTAATAAAAGGTAAAGGGTAAAGGGTAAAGGGAAAAAATATATCGATTATTATTTTATTGTTATAACTATTTTATTTTATAATCTATTTTTTTTACTACTTTATTAGATTACTTGAATTGTTTTTTTTTTTGAAATTCTCAAGCTCTTTCATCGAGGGTTTTTATAATAATTTAACAAGTTCGAGAAAACGGTACGCATCCAACAAGATCGCGTATTCCAAAACTTACGTCTCGAACTATTTTTGATAAAGTGATGATAGTACAAAATAGTAGTTACAAAATAGTAGTGCAAAACAGTATATGCAGTATATGCGCATCTTTATTTTTAAAAAATTAGCAATAAAAAAAAATCAAATTAGCCATCTATGTAGTAGATTTAAAAAAAAAAAAATGGTCGCGTTTATTACTCAGTTTTTTTTTCTATTTTAAGTTATCAACACAAGGAGTGCATTATAAAAAGAGTTTCGCCATTTTTAATCAAGTTGGAATTTAAACAGGCTAAAAAGACTCATTGTAAAAAAAAATAAAAAAATAAAAAAAGGTTTCTGAATGTAATTCAGTCGCTTCTATATAGAGCAAAATCATAAATCTCGAAAGATAAATCACTATTGCACATGTACCTTGTACGTACGTACGTATGTACCAGGTATGTAAATGCGTGTACATGTACGTAGGTAAATCACTATCATAATATTATATCTTATATCAATATTGAATAAGTTTATTTATATAAAATATATAAGATATATAATATATATATATTTGGATTTATAAGTATTAGTATTCTATTTTTTTAGAAAAAAAAAATTAAATATACAACCGGAAAATTGGATATTTTTAGAAACTCTGAAAACTTGACATGTGTTTGATCGGAAGCTTTCGAATGATTTATCGTTTCTTTAGTAGATAATTCAAAAAAGTATCATTATTCATTTTTACACTGTTTCAAATTAGATTAAGAGTTAGAATGCATGCATGCCCCTTAGTGGTTATTTAAAGAGTAAACTTTCATGAACTTTCAAAGTGAAGGATAATGAATACTTTGTCTAGATTGTAATTAACTTTAGATCAAATGATTACCATCATGTCTTGTATGCTATTAATTAAACTAACTCCATCATGCTTTGTATGCTATTAATAACGGAAGTTCTTAATACAGAAATACAGCAAATACAAAATTAAGAAAATATAGATATCATTTTTAAATCAAGTTTAGAAAATGGAATTTTAGCGGTTAGCTGTTGGTGCCAAGACACGTATATACCGCTCTTGACGAGTAAGTACGTACGTACATAATTATTAAACCATAAATCTTAACTTTATTTATTATTTATTTACAATAGAAAGGCAATAAGACCACATAATACATGATTTTATATTGTCTATTAATACAAGGAATTCGCATTCGCGACCGCAGGAAGTTAACGCCAACCTTTGTTACACAACAAAAATGGCGCACTTTAACCTTAATCGTACATTTATTAATAATAAAATGCATATATGATACAGATACATACTGTATTAGCGTTAGCATAATGTGTACGTATTAACGTTAGTATAATTAGTCTGCTTAACATTAATACGTACTATGATTTTTGTTACTTTTGCTTAACGTTAATACAACGTATGATTATTTACTTATGTACAAAAACTTTTGTATTGTTAATGATTTTCGTAATTTTTATAAATAACTTGAATGAAGGTGTACGAACATTCAGCCGATCTAATTTGGTCGGATCTTTTTTTTTATTTTAAAAATAGATTTACAATTATAATCTGTTTGTGATGATTCCTGTTTATTATCATTATGATTTCTGTTTATGATTCGATAAATTATTTCTAAATGAATTAACTATATCGGTATCGCTTTTACATCTCCATAAAAAAAATTTTCGATGCATAGAATCTTGGTACGTATACGTATACGTACGTACTTAGCTGTATGCTAATATTTTCAGTTATGATAATAGTTACACATAATGGCAACATGTCTAAGTAACATAATTCAGGTGATGTTTATGCAGACTCAGCATGTAAGCATCAGACGATTTTTTCTTTTTATAAATATCCTACATAAGGTATAAATATTCTATCTTAGGTTTTAGTAATGTAGTACAATAACTCGGAATCAGATGGACGGACGTACGTACAAAAAAATATACCAAATTTTGACAGTACGTACGTACAGTCAACAAAACATACAGAATTTTAAATATAATTAAATAATAAATATTGTATTTACCAAAATAATCCTCTTTTAGTATGATTATAGGGAATTTTAATGTCTTTAAAAATGCTCCTTTGTAAATCATTATGTATTATATTATTTTCCGTGCGTCTGTTATGGTTAATATATCGTACTACGGTCACTGACAGTTAGGGATTGGAACCGTTTAAAAAAATTTCTGACACTAGTCATTTAGTCATTTAATTTAGTCCGTATTAAAATATTTTCCGAATGTTCATGTTAGATAGTTAGACTCCAAATTTCGGTTCAATTTTTAAGCAATTAAACGGTTTCAATTCTCATTGTCATCTACGCACGTACATACGTATGTAAGTGATTAAAGAATAATCTACCTAACACTAACGTTAAATTAATAGGGTATATAGTAAATTACCGGTATGATACGGAAACGCAAATTGGGAAGGACATGATAATACATACGATTTGTAAAAGAAAAAAATTCTTCCAAGGCAAAGCTAATTTCCCTATAATCTCACTCGAAAAAGAATAATGCTCGCACTTGCCCTAAACATTAAAAGAGGGTTTACTTGTAAAGGATTAGGTCTCCTCTTTCATTTGACATGAGGATGTGACGAATCATCGGTGTGGCGAGTAAGCACTAGCTAAATAATTATATTAAATAACGCTTATTAGCCACACCCGATTATTCGTCACTTCAATGTGCCAAATGGATAATGGACTTACAAAAAAAAACTTATCACTATGTGTACTATCAATGTGCACTCCAAAGCCGCTTTGGTCAAGTGATGTGCACTCATAAAAAAAGTAACGCTCACGGTGTTAATGTTCCGAGTCGGTGAAAAATTTTGCCGATCGATTAGTTGCCAACTATAGTTAGTTAGTCAATCAAACTAAAAAAAAAAAAAAAAATCAACACGAACAAACCGAATATACGGAATATCTTGGAATTGAACTAACTACAGTAACGATTTGGATCACTATGGTGAATGCATTTTCGAATTACTCTATATCGATACAATTTATGACACGCGAAAGTAATATATATTTACATTAATTTTATTCATTAAAAAAGTAATCGAATTATCTAAATTACCAACTATGTTTCCCATAACTTGTATAAGCAAATAAACTTTTAATGATTCATCATATCGTAGTACGAACGCACGTACTTCGTTTACTATCGCAATTTTACTATATGTCATTTAATTACGTTAAACTATATAATTAGTTTTGTTCCGAAAAAAAATCTATTGGTCGATTTAATTTGGTTAGGATATTTATAATCGGTTATATCGGATTTATTGGTTTATCGGATTGATCGTCGGATATATTGAATACTTTCTATGACGTTATGAATCAATTATTTGAATAAAGAAATTCTTTTATATTCATTTTTAGAGGTGCGGTCGGAATTATCCCATTGAGTTAGACTTATGACATGTACAAAAATTTAATTGCTGTATGTCATTACCCTGAAGAAATATCAATAGATCTATCGAAACTTTTACATAACAGATAAAAGAATTACTTTTTAGATAAAGGTATATTATTATTAGGTTGCCATATAATACTAATAGAATGCTAATATATTATTATTATTCATGCTTTTCTAATATAATAATAATATTATTATTATTATTATTATTCATGCTTTTCTAATATAATAATATTATTATTCATGCTTCTAATTTGATTATTCATTCTTCTAATTTGTTTGAATTTGAAAATTTGAATACCCCTACGTGTTATTTTCTCGCAAATACGGTATGAATTTTCGCTAACATTATCACTTCTCTGTCAATAATTTATTAATACCAATTTAGTACTAGTAATCTTTATATGTATAATTTTACATATTAGGTTAATTCAGATAATGATAATACGTATTTAAGCCAAGAATTCAATTTCACACATTATCGCTACGTATCGGAATTTGATATCTGTAATACTGTATGAAACTTATTGAAAATGTGCAGGATTTATAATAAGTAATTAGGTACTGACATATAGTTTATATGTACGTACTACGTATTTATGAATAATACAATTTAAAATATTACTCCATTATCAAGTATAGCTTATGATTAAATATAGTTGAATAGCCCGATCATAAACAAGTCATGACAATTTTCAAAAAAAAAATTTTCCTCTAAAGGATAAACTAATAAACTTTATGTTTACTATAGAGTTTTGGTAAGCCATTTGGATCCTTTTAAAGAATCCTTCAATAGGAATCATGTTCGATAAAGGTCTCGTTTTGAAGAAATAAATTGAAATACGCTATTCCATAGTTAATATATATCATGTGAAAATACAAATCATTAGAGACTGTGTTGTCATAAAGTTCACTAGAGTTACTCGTACTAGATCCGTTAACAGAGTCATAACATTAAGTTCATAAGTATTTATTTATCATTCATCCATGTTAATTTAATCGTAAGTATAGAAATATTTTATTAATCTGTAAAACTAGGAAACGGAAACCGTTTAGGTTCGGAGCCTATATACAGTATATTCTGCAAAAAATTTTTTATTCATTCACTCAAATAAGCTCCAAAGTAAACATTCAATTGTCATATATATGATTTTACAGTACACGATAATCGTAGTTTTACTAATTCCCGTCATTTTATTTCTCTTATAAAATCGAAAGCGAATGTTTTTCTTGTCAAGTAAAGTATACCGTATGTTTTCTTAAGGGGTATCACAAGTCTGGACAGTAAAGTCCTACACTCCGCTCCGGACAATTAAACAAGTTTTTACAAATAACATTGGTTCTATTCAATTCAAAATTATAGTAACTTGTAATTTAACCATGCATATGGATCCTTAATTTGCAATATTAGTAACTTCTACTATCATGTGGGAACCTCACAGCAAAATGATGCATTGGGCCATTTTAAATTTCACTATTTTAAAATAAGTATATTTCGTAATCTTGTGATTAGTTAAATGATTTTTATATTATTTAATTCTTCTCAAATGAGATAAATTAAACGATATAAAAATCATTTAATTCTAATCATTGAATCATGAGATATACTTATTTAAATAGTGAACTTTAAAATGGCCCAATGCATCTTTTTGCTGTGGGGTTCCCATACATTAACCGCATGGGTCCGACAAGATCAAGATGGAGTCCAAAATTTCCGGATGTTACACGACATATCACATGCACACTTGATCTGCGTAACTGATGTAATTGTTTGTGGCGCAAGCCTTTTGATGATTGTAATGTCTGTTTTTAATATTGAGAAAGTCATAATTAGTATCATAAATTAGTGCGCTTAGAGATGCAAAATTGATTCATCGGCTCTATTTATTAATCAGTTATTATCATTATTCATATACATGCCGGTTGGATTGCTTTGCACTTTTAAGTTCGCTTACATATGATATGTTTTATTTTATTATTTATTTAATTATAATTGCTCGTAATTATGAGGTTATCGACAAGGAAATGGTTACTAATCAACAATATAATCAACAATTAAAAGGTGTAAAAGAAAGTGATTAAAAAAAATTTCTTTTCTTGCACGTTAATACATTAATAAAATACAATTAATGTGAAATAAAAAATTTACTTGGTGAACGCCACTTATGCTTCTATCACTCACTATATTAATTATCATAATCTATTTTGCATGCGTGTTATATTATATAATGGAAAAATATACCTCTTGTTCTCAAAAATACCTATTAGAGGGATTTGTATACAAAGAAAGACATACAAAACCTGCGCAAATTGCTTGGTTGCAATGGCTGAAAAAAAAGCAAGTGTTAAAAAACTTACACCACTTTCTAATACTAATAAAGATGCTCAAAAAGTTTTAGAATTAATTCTGCTAAAAGAATTAAATAACTAGGTTGAAAAATCAATTTCAAATCTTTACGAAAATTCAGAGTTGTTGTTTGAAATAAAAGTTGAGATCACAGATATAGCAACATATAGTCTTAAATCAATAGTAAAAATGATCATTGATGAGATTAAGGAGTGATTATAGTTGGATGTAAGTATTAAATGGTTTAATAAATTTATTTAAAAAAAATTTAATACTTAAAATTGATCAATTTAAAAGCACTAGAACAGCATTATGCATTTTAACTTTATTCAAAAATATTTGCATTTTTTATTTTTTCTGTACTTAGTCTAATAAAATTGCATGTAAATATAAGAAGTCAAATCATAAAAAAATAACTTAATTTAATTGTCATGAGAAATTAACTATTTATATTAATATTCCTGCAATAAAAGTAATAATAAAACTTAGATATAATATTTTTTATGAAAAACTAGTTAATATGACAATACCTGAAAAAATTAAACAAGAAATTAAAGCAATTCTTTATATGAATTCAGTGCAGCTTCGAACATATCTCTGCAACAAATTTGATATTTCAAATATTACAGTCAAATAAATTTACTACTGGTAGTTATTTTTTACTTAGAAATTTTATAAGTCAGATAAAAATCATGTTAATTTAGCATATATTTTTTTTAAAACATATAATGTTAAAAGTTGTGAGTTTTTTTTTAAGTTAATAAATGATTAATAACTGCTCTTGAGTTTATAATGCCTTTGTTTAATAAATTTTTGCCTAGGTTAGAAATTTATTATAATGCAATATATAAGACTGCAAAAGGACATTTTGAATTATATGATTTAATTGG